GGCTCAACCTAAATATTTACTGAGATTTAAACATGTCACAATACTTTTGGTGATTTGGCCAAAGGTTTATAAAAGACAGAGCATCTTCACGTTCACTGAAATTCTTCCCTCTTTTGTTATTTGCCTCCTTCACAGAAGGGGCAGCGTCGGATGGAGGCAGGAACAGAAGAGACTCTGAACAGATCTGGGTTTGGGCTCCATGCGAAGGTCCAGAGATAGGTTTGTACCTCCACTCACAAAACGATACCAAGTAGGACCCTCCCAACGTTTCTGCTCTTGCATCTTCTTCTCTGGGGCCTCCTCCTCTCTTGGTGAGGTTCACCCGTTCAGAGTGGGGTTTAAGACAGTTTGAAAACACGTTGGTTCCCTCCGACACTTGGTTTGATGTTTGAACTCCACCACTGAGCTGAGCACAAGGCACTCTCTACCTTTTACATCTATCTTCTCCCACTGGGCCCGGAGCTGCCTTCACATTTTCTAGCCACTTTGCCTTCTCCCGAAAAGCATTTTGCTAAAACATACAAGAGCTTGGCAGTAATCATCAGAAGCAAGGAGAAAAATGCTGGGAGGCTGCCCATCCTTTACTATTTTGAGACAGGAGTATGTGTGCATTTAAGTGACATATCCACATCTACAGGAAACCACGTATGCAGGAAGTAGAAAAATATACTCTGTATATAATAGCCAGGAAGTCCCTGCCCCCACTGGTGTGGCCCCCAAGTGTGTACTGGAACCTTCCCATAGGCAGCAAAGGTCGGACATTAGAGAGAAAAAAGATGCCAACTGAAGGCCATAACATAGGAAAAGGCCTTTGAAATGTTAAAGAATCTGTGTGCCCCGAGTGCTGACAAGCCTTTCAGCAGCATGGCAAGCCTTACAAAACTACATTTAACTCCCACCTCGAGAACATACATCATGTAGTGCTCCCATGGCTTTTTTTTATTATAAAATATTTCCTTTTCCTTTCTTAATTTTTTTATTTCAGATTATTATGAGGGTACGGAAGATTACATTACAATGTTTGCACTTGTTAGGTGAAGTCCCTGTTGTGCCTGTGCCCCTCCCCAGCAGGAGAGGCATAGACCCCGACACTGTGCCCTTTAGGTGGGAGGGCACTGATCCCCCTCCCTCCTTCCCTCTCCCTTCTCCTCCTCGCCCCAACTTGAATTAAATGAAGCTTTTCTCTGGTGTGGGTGTATATTAGATGGTCTACTGGCTTTACATTAGTATTGAGAACATTGGATATTTGCTTTTCCATTCTTGTGATACTTTACTAAAGCGAATTTCTCCAATTCTATCCAGCTTAATACAAAAGCAGTGAAGTCTCCATCTTTTTATGACTTAATAGCATTCCTTGGTATGCACATGCCACAGTTTATTAATCCATTTATAAAAACAGGGAATGCTTCCCAACATCGTGTGCCATGCTAATCTTCTGTGTATCCTTCCAAGCTTGGTACACGTGCTGCCCAAGTGAGCATAAGATTCCATTTCTGTTCTTTCCTTCCATGATCTTTCAGCCCATAGGGTCATCATGTGGTTGGGGTGGGGAGGAGGTTGGAGGGATAGAAACTTTAGGTGTTTGGATTCCAAATTACCAAGACTTTAACTAGTCTTGGGAAAACTAAAGGTGTACCTAATGTGAACTCAATTAAAAGATTTTTCTCTCTTCAAATAGTGCAGCTCTTATGATATCAGTTTCTACTGGGTTCTTCTCATAGAGACATTATATGTTTTATATAAAAAATCCCAGAAATACGAGAGACCAAGACGCAAGTCTTTTCAACAGTCCAGAATAATAGATAGCTTATCAAATTTTGTAACTTGGTCAAGATGACACTGAAGGATTCGTATCAGTTCACCTAGGATACATACAGCATCTGAAAATTATAACAGCAAATGTGTGTACAGATTCTCCTGTGTCTGTACATAACTCTGTTTTGGAAACTTTAAATATACTATCACAGTTAACACCCTTCCATGTAACCATATGAGGTGTAGAGAAGTATATTCCCATTGTACACAAGAGGAAACTGAGACTTGGAAAGGTAAGCAAATAGCCCAAATTGATAAAGATGGCTGTGAAGCTAATAATCAAACTCGGTTCTTCCAACTCCAAAAGCCAGTATGTGTTCTTTCCTGAACTTCTGCAAACAGTCTGGTGTAGTAACTGGGACCGGGAGGGGTGCAAACTCCTGGGAGCTGTAAAGCTCCCGGCCTGCCCACCCTGGACAGGTACAGGGTACTTGTTACTCAACCTCAGGTGATTTTGACCGTGGCAGCCTGCAGTTCCAATGAAACCAGACCTTCTGACTTCTTTGGAAAATTTGACCATATTTTTATATAAAATTGGTAGATATTGACAACAAGCTATTTAATACACAGGCACCCATGCACACGCCCATGTGCACACATACACAAATTCCTCGTATGGACAAACACAACATTTCAAAGGCTGCATCAAGCTCTCTGAACCACCAGTTTATGATGTCTGCCTGACCCCACCTGTTTCCCATTTTTTATATTTACTGGGAAGCCATGCTACAGCCCAAAAGTTCCAACAGAGATATCATTAAATTTATAGTGGGATTATATACACTTTGCAAATCAAAATTCTCCTTAAAACTACAAATAGTTCCAATGAATTGAAAAGAGCCACAAGTTTTAATAATAAAAGCGTCTATGACATCACATGTCCAATGCCTGCAAATGAACAATAAAATACCATCACAGCCATAAGTGGTCTGGTCTAATCTACAGCAGCGACAGAAGCTCCTGGGTTCAATTAGTCCCTGCTTTTGCCAGATCCACAATCTAGTAAAAATTTCAAAAAGGTAGATCACGAAAGCAAAAAGCACCTGCAGGAACCACTATCTCTCTAACCTTTCTTGTTCCTCTTTCCCCTTCAAGTCTGATGATTTGGCAGTTCTGGAACTCTTCCGAGAGAAGTCAAGACTCACTCTGCCAGCCCCAGCTGTTCAAAGCTCAGCCCAATCTGTTCCATGGAGTTGGCTGTGTTCTAACAATAATGTGGCTACAGTTCACCTTCATTTACTGCAAAGATCATTAACTATCCCTCAGAGAGATACAGTATTAAAGAAAGAGCGTGCCCCAGGCATAATAAATGGAAGTTCCCCTGGGAACAAAGTTCAAAAGAGGTAAGACAATGCCAGGGAGTCCACCTGACAGTTTCTACAGCCAGAGAAAAAGGAAGAAAATAAGGGCAGGAAGGAGGAAAAATTAGAGAGAGGAAAAAGAAAAGCCAGAACATGCCTGGCAAGCGTGTGTGTTCATGTTAGGAGAGACTGGGGGGTGGGGAAGATTTGAAATAAAGACAACAGGACATTTAATGTTAAGTCACAGCAGGGACATGATCCTACTTGTCTGGAAGCTCAAACATTCTAGTACAAAGGTACAAGTAAATTTGGAAAGAGTGAGAACAGAGAGAGTGAATTACAATCCTCTGCAGGAAGAATGCAGGATTCCAAACAATTTTTAGTACCATAAGAGACAGTGAGTTTAATGAAACCTGTATTTAAATCATTTATCTGACCTCCCATTCATAAAAGTGCTGGCTGAATTACAGTGTGGAGTGGGTGTGTTTCTTCATTCAACTCAGGTGTTCAGTTATTAAAATCTTCCCTGAGCCTCATTTGAGTCTTTCTCCAACCCCAATAAACCAGCTTTGTGGAAGCATCCAGGGATCAGGGAGCCCCTTCCCAGGAAGCTCTGTGCGTTCTATAAACTGGGAGTTCTTCAGTTGATAACAGCATCACCATCAATACTTGTTCTGAGTTGCAACTGTCATGTTAATTAATCTAAACCAAATTCCAATTGATAATGGATAGAGAATTGGTGACCACTTGGGAATCCTCCTGGAAGACTGTGTCTCTTCAGGATAATATAATAACAAAAACAACAGCTCCATAATCTGCATCTTCCTTACAGTCTTTTCCATAGTTAAATCAACACCCTGAGAAGTAGTTCTCAACTGGGGGTGATTTTGTCCCCCACGGCACTGTCCTTGTTGCCATAACTGAGAAAGGGGTGTATTTTGCTGGCATCCAAGGGGTACAGGCCAGGGGAGCTACGAAATGTCTTGCAATGCACAGGACAGCTGTGCATTGAATGCTGAATTACACAGCCCCAAATGTCAATAGTGCAAAGGTGGGGAAGCCCTGCCAGAAGTTGTTTCAGGTCCCTTTTTGGGTGTACAATATGGATTTTAGAGGTAGTAGAAGAGTTTCTAAATGACATCTTGCTGTCATTAAAATTCCTTCTCTCCGCATAGTAATAACATTTAACATAAATGGAAAGGAAGGCAAGGGGAAAAAATATTAAAACTAATTTTGAATCACAATGGAAACTTGATAAATTCTATGACAGCACCAAAGTCTGCATGAGGCTGTTCAACCAGTGATTGATTGAATTACTGAAGTGTCCAAAAATTAAAAAATAAAAAGTCTGATTCAATTCACCTAGGAGGATGCTTCAAGACAGATGTACATATAGACCCCAAGACTGCACCATGAAATTTGTATTTATAAAGAGGAGAAAGAGCCTCGGCCACCCCTAAATGGCACACAGCCCTAAGAACACCTGCACATCCCCAAACTAGAAGACCCTATGTTAAAGTATATTGACTCTATGTCAAAAGTCTCTATGTAGGAAAACCTAAATTGGCTTGGAACAAAAGAAATTCACCTGAGTGGGGTGGGGGTGGGTGGGTGAGCTGGGAGTTAAGGCTTTCCTGAAAGAAGAGAGATAATCTTCCAGCCACACCTGGAGACTAACAAGCAGCCTTTGATGGAGTCATCTGTCCTCAGCCCAAGAGCTCTATGGAGTCATCCTAGCGTTGACAGTGCTTGCTAAAAAGTAATTTGCTGTGAGGTAATTTAGTGTAAGCTCAGGTCATGTCCTGATCTTGCCAAATAACCAGACAGCCCAGGATCCTTTCCTGTTGCCGGAGCCTTCAGACCGCTGCGGAGGCTCACCTGCCGGCTCCCTTCCCATCCTCTGGGTTTCCAGTGTGCGTGGCGGGCTGCAGGAAGGGCTACACACTCGGACTCTCCGGCTTTCCTGCATTCCTCTTGGCAGTCACACTTGGACTCAACAGCTCCTGGGAACCTGTGAAGGAAAACAGAAAAAAAAAAAAAAACCAAACTGATGCAGCCTTGAATGGGAATGGAGCTGTGACCTCCCAGCCTGGGGAGGACAAGTTCTGCCCTGTCAAAATTGGGAAATGACTTTTGAAGTCCTGCCCAGGCCTCCCTGGTGCAGACCATGAACCACTATTGTTTAGCACACATTTCCACTCCACGTAATAGAGACACAATGACAAAGGGATTCATTCACAGACTATTTACTGAAGGCTCACCAGACACCAGGTACAGGGAGCGGCGGGAAAGAGGCTGGTGAAACGCAGCGAGGTAGCCTCAGACTAGAAGAAAATAATCTAAAAAGAATTTTTATTTGAACAGACTTTGTTTTGGCTAAATCTGCCCTCTTTTGTGAATAGAACATAAAATATGAATTTGGTTAATTCATGAAAGTGGCCATGTGTAATTTAAAAGAAAAACACGGATCTAGTTTTGTTACAATCCTAGCCACTCTCCAGACCTAACCTCCAAACTGTTTTTGTAAACCACCACTGGCAGAATTTTTTACCAGGGTGATAGAGATAACACCAGGCTACTAATCTGTGGTTTTAAGAAGGAAGGAAAAATAGGGGTAAAGAGACTGGATCACTTTTATTATAATCAGTGCAACTAAGGGAATATTTACAAGCCAATAGATTTACACCCACTGGAACGTGTTAAAAAGCCAAAATCCTAACCAGTTCAATCTACCCCCACCCCACCCCCACAAAAAAACATGCAGAGAACAGCAAAATTCAGCAATGGGCACTGAAAGCATTTTCAAGCCTGGGCAGAATTCTAGAAATTACTAAATTAGCCACTGGTGCTATGTTGAACGGAATACTCATCCTGAATGCAATTATGTTAAAACTCTGGAAGATTTCTCCCCTCAACGTGCAATCTTTGGTTCATAGGAGGTTAGGGTAAGAAGGAAGGATGTACGGATGAGACAGGGAGGGAGGAAGGTGGAAAAAGAGAAGGATCACAGCCACAATTCAGTTCATTCTGTACAATGACAAATCATTAACGGACCATTTTTCACTCAGGAAACTAAATTTAAATTCATTCATGACTCAACACTACCTTGTTTATCAGGTTTATTGAATAAATTATAAAAAGGTAAATCCCAAAATAAATTATATAACAGAATGTGGATTTTCATTAGGAGGAAAGAACAATATATTTTCTCCTCATGGGAATTTTCCTAGAATAAAGACAAAGTTGATAATAATAATATCACCTATTGATAATAATAATATCAAGTATTATTCAAAATATCAAAAAAGATCATTTTGAATGATACTTCAAAATTATCTTCCAGTTTTCCTAAACCAGAAACACTATGAACAATGTACTTGATTGTATCTCGGCATATGCATCTGTGTGTATTTATTTATTTGGGGCATCATGCTCATATGTTTTGGCACCATGTTCTTTTATCTTACAAAATCATGCTTTGTTCTTCATTTACTGTACTAAGCTGGCAATCAGAATTCAGTTGTTTATCTACAGTAACCAGGGTCAGGGAATCTTTTTTTATTTAAAAATGTTTCTGGTAGACACTACATTTCTGTGGGTCCTCCTGGAGAATGTAAATCAACTCCACAAGTTGACACCTGTCAATTATAGTCCTCATGTATTTTGTGGCACATAAAGAAACATTGTAAGTTACGACAGGAAAGTCGTTCATTTCCCTAATGATCATGGTTACGTCTGCTGAATTTTTATCATGTAATTGAAACACATAAAACACCCTTCATACTTATCTAAGCCATCTGCAAAGTTTCTTATAGGCAAAAACTGTTTAACATCATGTCAGATAGTTTTATGAATTTCCCAGGACTTGTTAAGCTTCTTAAACATGGAGTATTTTGCTATCCAAATATAAAAGCCCAAATGAGCCATTTAAGGTACTAAACAGAGGAAGTCCCCAAGTGATGGATCATGCTCACTGAAGATAGAGTACAAAAAACTAAGAGAGTCAGTGATCAAATGTTTGCACATGTGTATTTATTTCTAAGCCCATAATACTTTTTCATTTATTATAAGTACTGTACATTTTTAAAGACTGCAGTTGTAAAATATAACCCAAGGCATAGTTAGAAGGTTCAGTCATCTGTAATGGTTGGGAACAGCTCTCTGGGCACCTTCCCGAGAAACCAGAGTTTTAAATGGGCATAGGAAAGATATTTGATACATTGGTAGTGATCAAGGAGACATATTCTGGTGCAAAAGCAAGAAAAAAAGAAAGAAAAGAAAAGAAATATGAAAATGATACAGAAGCAAATGATAGAAACTCTTCCGCTCCATTGGGTGGTAGTAGGCGGGCAGCTTAGGTTTTCTCTACTCTTTCCATAGGGATGATTAAAGCATGATATGGAAAATGCCTAAATCTACTCCAAATCTATCAAGCTAACTGGGAAAAGAAGGAAGAAAGAAAAAAGAAGAAGGGAAAAGGAGGAGGAAGCTAAGACCTGCCCCCTCATCGCCCTGTGTTATCCAGTAATAAATGAAGACTGGCCAGGGGAACCCTGAGAACTGGTGGCATTTCCTTCCGTAAACTGAGCTGGCTGGAGCGATCAGCTTCCCCAGCTGTGAGATGATAGTTATTCCTATCCATACAGCATTCCAGGTTTTTGAGCATCTCTGCAGGCCCTCCCTACCCACTTGGTCTACCCAACCCTTCTATTCATCCTTTAAAAGATTTAGCTCAAACTTCTGTCCCTAACTGCAGAAGGGATGACTTCTTCCCTCCTGTGCTCTTACACACCCGTGAAAATATTTCCTAAGTCAACTAAGTCAAAGTCAAGGTTCTCCAGGAGCCACAAGTCACTAACTCATCAGGTTCAGAAGCAGCTTTGCAGAGTGGCCAGGGCCTTGATTTGAACCCACACCATCTTGAACTTTTTATTCAGCTAGCATAGCACTTCTTCAGCTGCTTTGGGACTAAAGTGAAACATGACAGTTTCTCCCACCAAAATCCAGATGCCTGGAGGACAGATTCAGCAGCTTCTCTGTCTTTTACCCACAGGGTCTCGCAGACAGTCTGGCATAAAGTAGGTGGTCAATAAACACTTGTTGAAGGAATGTATGAGTCAACAATGGCACTTAAATTATCCTGAAGACTGAAAGAAAAAGGCAAGAATGGAAAGAATCTAGTTTGCCCTTTTCCTCCCTTCAGTCATTGCACTTAAAAGGACTCTCATGACGGATATTTTTAAATATTAAAAATATATATTCCCAAGGAGAAAAAGGGAAATAATCCCATGTGATTTATCATGAGAACATGGACATTATACATTATACCGTAACACTATAGTTCTTTGTAATCTATGTGGTGTTTCCTTTAGTTCTACTGTTTAATCTCTACCAAGATTTGTTTTTCTACCATGAGTGCTTCAAGTTGAAGATGAAGACAACACAAGGACACCTATGTACATGGACACAAAATCTTTCACTTTCTCCAAACATTCAGGGTCACTCTGCCCATCTAAAACTCTGGATTCCTGGCAAGGTGCCCAGAGAGCTGTTCTAACCATTCCAAACAACTAAAATCCTCTTCAATCCTCTAACTATACCTGAAGTTATATTTCACAACTATAGTCCAAAAAATGTACAGTACTCACAATAAATGAAAACATTATGGCTCAGAAACAAATACACACACACGTGAAAATATTTCCTAAGTCAACTAAGTCAAAGTCAAGCTTCTCCAGGAGCCACGAGTCATTAACTCATCAGGTTCAGAAGCAGCTTGGCAGAGTGGCCAGGGCCTGGATTTGAACCCATACCACCTAGCAAGCTATGAATCCTCATGTGCCTCAGCCTCTTCATCTGTAAATGTTAAAATAACCGGTGCTGTACAGAGGGAAAAGGTTAATGCAGGTAAAGGAAACAGAAGCATACACGGCATACATTAAGCATTTAGTAAAGGCTAGTTACAGGATTATCTTCGTATACCCTTGTCTTTTAAATTATACTTTAGTAGAACATTCCAGGAGATGAAAAAATGCTTCTGTTGAGCAAGTCTCTGCCATAAAGACAGAGACAGTAGGGGCACATGGCATAGAAGGCAGTATAAAAAGCTGATCCTGGAATATTATGATCCTATAGGACATGAAATGATCACAGGTATGAGAAACCATAATTACGTTCACTTAACTTTCATGTGAAGCTGCAGACACACACACACACACACACATATGATTGAAGACACACACACACTCCTGCTTTTTACGCCTCATACAACAAAGCGATCAAGGAACACACTATGATGCTTCCTGGCAACATAGGTCGCTCTGAGCCTGCCTCCTTATCTGTGCAATGAGAACAGTCTGCCTCAGTCATCTTCACAATTCCTAGTGTTTTGGTAAAACTTAAATGAAATAACATGTATGAACGCACCTAATAGACAGATAATCCACGTTATCTTTACGTTTTTATTTCTCCCCATTTCCATCTAAATCTATGAGCTGGCTGAGATCCACTTCAGTTTTCCAGACGTATCTGGCTCCTTTCTCTCATACTTATATTGGATCAGGTCTGAAGGAAAAAATGTAAAAAAGAAGCAAAACCATTTTTTTGCTTCAGAAGAAACCACTCAAACATTTCAGATGAGGAAGTTCCCTATTTCAGTAAACCAGGCAAGTTTATTGTAACAAATGCAAAGGGCAAAGTAAGGGCGTATGGTTACCACAAAACTATACAAAGAAGACAGACGATGAAATATGCAATGTTAATGTCAAGTTTGCAGTAAAGAGAATAAATAGTGACCTCTTCCCTGAGTTTGGAAATAAAGGTATAATACGATGGTCATTTTTCAGTTTGGAAACAGATGGTAAACAGTATCTGAAAACAATGAATTTTATATTCTCCTAGATATTTCTGCAGGATTAGATAAGACCAAAAAGCATAATATTGAGCATATAAGTAATCCAATAAAACTCAGAGTTTATCTTCTCTTTCCTCTTCATAACAGAGCAACAAACT